AAAATTTATATACCCCAGTCGATCTGAATTAACTGAGGGCTTTGGGAATTTGAAATGGATATTTTGATTTTTGAGAGTACTTTATATAAAGCCTGAAAAATATTTTCAGAAATTTCTCAAAATTGGCACAAATTGTTTATCAAACTTTGTCTTCGGAGAGCGTAAAGATACTTAAGAGAATGGTGTAGTCCTCATGTTCGTTAAAACCCCAAATTTTTAGGGAATTTCAAAAGTTCAATATATTAGGCGTCTTCCTACAACTATAATATTGAAGATAGAGCTTTTCTCCAAATGAAATGTGTTGATTATATATATATATATATATATATATATATATATATATAAACTTTCTGAAATATTGCAAAAATTAGGAATAACGTCAGTAAGGCAGTAAAGTCTTTGCAGTTATAGCAGTATTTGCTGTAGTTTCAAATTTTGATTCAATGTCTCTCCTGTTGAAAGTTTCCCACGATAACTCTGTGTATTTAAAAATCAGGCGAAGTTCAAGCTTATTGGATTTACGTGTGTACGTATGAGTCTGTAAATGTCTAGACCCGCAGGTTCTAAGGGTCGAGTCTCTGTGTTTGTGGATATTCGACACTGATTAAATAACTGCATCAAAGGGGACAATTTCATGCATCAGAATTCTAAAAGACGGCTGCTCAGAAAGGTTATTTCTGTGCTTTCATCTAATGCATTTCCATGCGTTGGAAAAGTCTACAGGCTGCATGTCTCATCTGCTACTCCCCCCTGCTTCCTTCCCCATCTGCTCCTCCCGCCTCCCATTCAGATCCCTAAAACCGGGAGCGTAACTTGCAAATTCTCTTTCTTCCAGGAACTTTATAGACTAACGTTAGCGCGAATACGCGAATGCCAAGCGAAGAATATCCTGCAAAAGGCAATGATGGGACCATTGGAAAAGGAAATGACAACCCCAGGCTGTTTGAGTCGCCGGGAATACATTAGTTTTCTAGTTATCGAAAACATAGATTAGAAAGATTTTGTACGCGTAACTAGTCTATTCGCCAAAAGCAAGCAAGAAAGAAAACGACTGGTGCTACAACACTAACTTTCTCGCGTTATTTCTAAATATGCCACCTTCGAAAATTCAGAAAATTCAGCAAAAATTAGATCTGCGCCATTCTTTTAAGCCTCGTTCTTTCGGTGGCCAAATTTGAAACACATTTGGAGCAGTTTATGAGAATTTTTTTTCTAATTACCTGTATTTCTCTCTTTTTTTCAAAATATTGTGTGTGAATTTTTTTAAAGAACTTTTTTATAACAAATTTCGTTTAAGACAAAAATGTTTTTTTCAATTTTGTACTTTTGCAAAGTGTCTTTTTTGCAATTTTTGAAACTACAATTCACCGGCAATTTGACCAGTGCCAATGTTTATACCGTCTTTTATTCGTAAGAGAAGGAAATTTAAAGAAAAGTTTGCAGCATTTGCTTTGTCAAAAAAAATTATTTAAAAAAAATATATATCTATAATTCACCCAAAGTTATGAAAAAACTACTACTTATATTTTTGAAAAAGTGTGCAAAACCCTATTCCAAGATCTGTCTTTCAACAACATATTTTATTAAGAAAAATGTATTGTATTGTGGTTGCAGGAAGACGCCGAAAAAAATTTTGAACTTCTGCAATTTTCCAAAAATTCAGGATTTTCAACGAAAATGAGAGCTGCAAGCATCTATCCAAGAACAAAGTTTAATAAAAAAAACTTTGAGCAATTTTTGAGAAAATTTTGAAAATTTAATTAAGACTTTATGTAAAGTAGTCCCAAAACCAAAATATCAGTTGCAAATACATAGAAGTATCGAGTTCCTTTATATCGATCCAGAAATTTTGAAGAAAAACTGCTGAATGGTTTAGGCGCTAGAGTTGATCACAGACAAACGAACGGACGAACAGACAAACGTTCTGCTGTCAATCAATTTTTCGGTGTCAAAGACCCGCAAAATATGATTCCTATTACACAAAGTGAGAGAGGAAGTAATTTGCTATAAATATAAAAAGATTTATCAGTTTTTTGTTACCTGGGTCCGGCAATAAGTGTTTTTTATTGTCGAAAATTGTCCTTTTTCCGGCGACGATGGCAATACTTTCTCTTCTTGTGAAGTGCATGCAAAAACGTAAAATGAATGCACGTGACGGAGATTTTAAAATCTATTTTTTCCTAATTCAATCGTTTGATTGTAGAAATGGCAGCTTATGCTGAGACCCCCCCCAATGGGCCCCATGTCAAGAGGACCCCGCCTACCGAGGGAGCTTCGCTTGCTGAAGGAGCCCCAATTACGACCGGCCCCAGCTGGCCTTCCGTCGCCACTAGATCCTAGCCAACAACTGCTAACGACGTTTTTTTAACACATGCTCATCAATGCACTTAACATTGACCATTGTATCATGACTGAGAACCGAAGAGAATCAAAGTCATGGCAAAATGAACCTCAATTTCATTTTCATTCATGACGTTCCGAGCACTAAACACATTTTTTCCGAGTTAAAGAGCTTTTTTCTGAGAATAAGCTATGAAAAAAGAAATTCTGTCCTTGGGCGACAATGAAAAAAATGTATCCTGATAAACCTTCATTAAGCAAAATGACGTCAAATACTTCCCGTTGGGCATTGCATTCAAAGGGTCTGCCAACGACGACTTAGGCTCAACTCAGGTCCGTATTTTGTGGCAAAATTAAATTCAGATTACACAAAAATACAGTGAAATGAAAATTATGTGATTTCCAATTATATTTTAAAATGAGTAATCTGGACTGTACGGGTGACGCCGCGTCGAAGGCTGTGTTTCGATCATCCTCTCGTGGTCTGCCTCAGGGCTGGTATTGCATACCAGCGGCGAAAAATGACTCTGGTCGCGGAAGCCTACGACTTCATATATCTTAAAATTGTGAAGTGCTATGTTACAGTTAAATGAATAAATGAAATACCTATGCATAATACTATGTATACTTACTACAATTTAACTATTTTTTAAATTTAAAAATGCTTGGGCATCTGGCCATTAAAGTATTATGAAACTATTTCGATATTCTAGAATATAAAAAATTATATTATTTTTTATGTTCTATATTTTAAAGAATTATAATTTCAAAATGTTGAATAAAGCTTACTGTAAGAAGCTACTGCGTCTTACATGAAAAAGAAAAACAAAATTATTAGCTCGCCATGCTTTAGATAAAGACATAAATTGCTGAGTCACGTCAATTACAACTTGTTTTGATACAGAATGACGTTTGAATAACCAGTGTCATATTTCTTTATTACATATCATTCTTCTAATATATGTTTCTATTAATTTATATTGTTCACGAAATATTGTATTTGAAATGCAATTTTATACCAACTTTTCATAATAACAAATAGCATAAATCAATATCTAAAATGCATACGTTTCATTCATTTGGAAGAGGAATGTTTTATATAATTTCAGTGCATTATAAAGGATTAAAGATTTTTTTTAAAAACTACATTGCAATAATAAATATTTCATGTCGACTTCTAAGGTAGACGTGAAGTAACGTTGGGAGTCAAGACATATTGTCACATGACATTCGGACGGTGAGGGGAAAATGGCAAATTGAGACTACGGTAGTGAGATAGGGAAGTGTGATTTCATATATTTATTACTAACACCATCAATTTTTGTTGTGGGGGAAAGGTGAACTTTAGGTTCACAATTAACTAAACAACAGATTCTCGGGGCGTACGCACACGTCTTGGGAAACGGAGCTATTGTTTGACGTGGGAGAAAGGGGGTGTTGATTCAATGAAGTGTTAAATAATTTTCCATTCAATATGGATATTTTTTGAAATTGCAGAACTCAGTTTTTTTATTATTTAGAGAACTTTGATAATAAATTAATTCCAGAAGTAATTTAAGGGTCGAGAATCTACATGAATTAATATTTTCGAAAAGGAATTTGATTAGAAAAGAAGGTGATTAAGTCTCATCTGAATCCCTCACAGCGATATACGCAAGTATGCTTCTAAATTACTGTTTGCTTGCAACGCTCGGGAACCTCACGTTTGTTCCATTGACCTACCCCGATATGAACTGAAATGTTTGATAAACTTTCAGTTGGCACTCTGTACCTTCTAAAATCCATTTGAACAACTAATTTATATGAAAACTCGTATAATTTACAGTATTAAAGTATCCGCCGTGACATTAATCCATTGTGTTGGTACATTTTCTTTGATGATGTCTCTGCGACTGGAAAGCTATTCTGTCTTTTCCGTGATTTCTATCCTTTCCCATCTTTAACTTTCGGGCAGATAGAATGATCACCATCCCTGTATCCATGTACTATTGTACTATGTAGTACTATTTAGATGTAAAGCTAAACCTCAATTTCGGGTCTGGGGCGTTAGAAAGAACTGTTACGGAATCTGCGGACAGTGGTAGTGACGGTAAGATTCCGGGGTTCGCCCCCATTTGAAAACTCGATATCCCCTGGTGGAAAAGTAGTCATTTTTTCCTGACAGGAAAACACCTAATCCACACTGATATGTCCAATATAATTTTCACAGTGAAATGTTCAAATCAAGAAATTCAAATGAAGAAAATTGGAAAAAGAAAACTTTCCCACAAACATTCTGAGGATGTATTCATTCTTCACTGCTTAATTTGAAAAGGTTTTCGTTTCATTCGCCAATTATTCGATTCGTCCCCTAGAAATTTGAACGCCCTCCTTGGAAGAACATTGCCAATCGCGCGCTGACCACTCTATTTTCTTCGTCAAACAAAACAAACAAAAACAAAAGAACAAAAGTTAAATAAGCAGTGCAAACCGTTCGAAGGGAGAAGAAAGTCATCGCCGAAGTGAATGACACGGAGAGGCGAATCGCCGAGTCACGTAGGCCGGGCCCGGGGTGGGGAGTGGAGAGGGGCGGGGCCGGGCCGGTCGGGTCGTGGGGGAGAGGCGCGTATAAGATCCGCGCGGCCTCGCGTGCATCGAGGAACCGCCCCGCAGTCGTCGCCACTCGCTGCTTCCGCCGCCGCACTCGTCTTCTCTTCTCTCCTCTTCGCTTCGCTTCTCGCTTGCGACCGCTCGACATGTCCAAGGTAAAATTCGCGGTTACGAGCTTGCAGAAAATCCACCTGGGGTTGGTGCAGTTGCGTCGGTTTGCGATTGCCGAGACGCGACCCGTTCTCGACGTTTGGTTTCTCTCGAATGTTCACGTCTCGGTTAATGGAATTTTTTTCAAACTGCCAACGTACTGACTAAGGAGACGAAAAAAAAACAACAGACAAACTGACGATTTCAATGTCTAATTCATGGGTTGTGTTTTTAGCTTCTTTGACGTTTCGTAATTCATTAGCGGTCATTAAGAATGTAAGAAGAAATTTTCAAAATCCATTTGGCACTTCCTTACAAATGGTTATTTTGTAGTCTCATTTGTTTACATAATAATATTCAGGTATGAGTAGAGATGCAATAAATCTTTCTACTGAGTGTACCATTTCTGTCGAGCAAGTACTGTCAGGATTATGTTGACCGAAAGCCATTACCAACCTATTTGCAACAATTCCTAAGACAGGAACAAAGTTTTTGAAAAATTGATTAAGGAAAGGGATAACTAAATAATAATAATAATAATAATAATAATAATAATAATAATAATAAATTAATAATAATAATAAATTAATAATAATAATGAATAATGAATAATCAGAGCTTGATTTCTGACGGGACGCGAAGGAACAGGCGTTCCTGTATCTCGGGAATAATTATTAAATTATACTATAAATATATAACTATTTCTATTAAATTAATAAGTAATTTGTCGTGCGATCCGTGACCTAACATTTTATAAATCAATCACTGATAATGGTTAATATTAATAATAATTATTAGATAATTTGTGACTTTCTGAGATAAATGTTGCCGCTAATTTATTGTAGTAATCTAATCTTATGGAGATTTTCACTCAAATATGTTCAGGAAAGACTTAATTCCAAATGTAGAATGTAAAAAAAATCAGATCGAGAAATATTTCAGTATCAAGCTTTTCAAAACACTTAAAAGTTCTCAATTCGCTTAGATTTGTCAAACATGAATTTTATGTGATTTTAGTAATTTATCAATAATCAAAAATGTTGACGATGTCCTTTTTTAAAAAAGTTTCTTAAAATCGTGAATAATGTTTTTCGAAGGGTCGGTACTCCCTTGATCCATCGTTCACTATGCCCTCTTGTCTGCAGCGTCGTCGTATGTACGTGACTAGGGGGACGTAGAATTACCGAAAAAAGGTCGCAGGAAGAAGGATTAAGAAGGAATGATCGCAACGATTGTGACACACGATCATTTCAGCGAGTTGAAAAAACTCAACGAATAGTACGCGTGTTGTTCTTGCTTGATATTACGGGTATGTGATGGCACTTTCCGCTTGTCATTGTTGATACACTTCCATTCTCAGCGGTGGCGATGCCAATATCTAGAACTGTCCTTCAAGAAAGAATTGTAGTCGACATTATTTTTATCGATATTATGTTTTCCTTTAACTGAATTGAAAGATACTCCATTTGGAAACAGTAGTCAAATGAATGTATCGTCATCGTATTACTCCAAGTTAGTGGTAAATATAAAGGGAATGCAGATTGAGGGAAGTGCGAAACCGGCAGGTCATTCTGACTCCTCGAGGTCGTATCGAATCTGGTGCTTTCTCGTTCAGAGAATTGGAAATCAGCTTTCTCCGACCGCGGCAGTGGGTCAAAGGGGGAGGCTGATAACACTCGTTGGATCGGCTCTTGCCTAATCGCGAGGCAGCGCAGATAAGCGCAACCGCTGATCCCCTCGCAGAAAAAAAAGAACGACGATGTACAGTGTTGACCTCTAGAAATGCCAAATCATCGCGAATGTAATGAGCAACATTGCCAACTAGCATATTCTTTAACGAACAAAAATTAGATTTGCTGTTAATTAGGTACATCTTAATCAATGTTATCGAAGGGCAAACTGCATCGTCCAATCGTCTTGTGAGTGAACATGCCAACACAGTTGCAATTGAGATAGTAAGGTCAGAATCCTTATACTGCTTCTTCAATTGTCGTTTCTAACATTCTTCAGTTTTGAGTGAGCAAAAAAACCTGCATTTATCTTTCTAGATTTCTCCATAGTTATATGTAACTCTTCGTGAAAAAGAGATTTGCGTAATTAAAACAATCAGATCCAATATTTCATCGTTCACTCACTTACGTAATTGTAATTTGTGGAAGTAGTTAAGAACAAAAAGGGCGGTCTAGCTTATAAAATTAAGTCATAACTTTACAGATAAATTATATTGTTTCCCCTAAAGATTTCTTAATAATATTTTCATTACATGTTTTTATTTTCTCTTATATACGGAAAAGAGAATGTTATGAAATGTCTCGGGAAAAATTATCGCTATTTTCATTGAAAAACGTTTAATAGGTTACCTGTATTGATAAAGTTAACTTTTCTTGCACATATACGTAATATATTACTTTTTCGTAAAAGTTATAGTCAAAATCGAGGTTTCAAGGGCTTTGATACCGAAAAGATATTCTTGGTTTTATTATCATAACAGCCCATCTATATACGCACAACACTAGCGCGCAAACAGAATTTTCAGCATAATAGACATTTCCTGATTGAGGTGCCGCAACCTTTTGAATTTGAAACATCTTTTAATTTTTGAGGATTCTTTACATAAGCTTCTAGGATTCTTCTGAAGTTTTCTCAAAAAAATACTCCAAATTATTTCCCTTAATTTTTAATCAAATAGACCAGAAGTAGTCTTCAAACATTGCGTAGAAGTTATTTTTCAGTGATACCTCTGACTTTTCGGAAATTGCATCAGTGAAAATTTTTTTCGACGGTTTCCTACAATAATATTGCTGGAAATATTGATTTGTTTTTAATGAAATCTCTCCTTGAAACATGTATCTTAAAATATTGTCTTTTTTGTTGAGAATACGTATTTCTCACGTAATTTTAAATGAAATCATGACAATAAAAGATTCTTTAATAATATTTTCTAAACATCTGGTTCACTTTTCTTTAATATTTTTAGTTATTAAATGTATAGATTTTTCTTTTATTGATATCTATTCCTCAATATTTGAACTTCAAATACACTTGAATTTCAAGTACACTTTTTAAAATGTTAGTAATTTTGCGTAGTTTTTGTGTTAGAACCACTACAGCATAAAGTCGTTTAGCATTTGAAAGTGGATTGCTTTTGACAAACGATTCAGTTGGGTCGGGAAACGTCTCTCTCTATGAAGCTTAGCGCTAGAGTTTAAATCTCACCGTAAAATGTTTTTCCAAAAATTTTGTGGGAAGGGCGCAGAGTACACTGAACTAATTAGCAGAAAGCCATTTTTACGAACCTTTCGCGCCTCATTTGGTTAGTTTTTCAAGTGGCGTAGAATACAAGTTAGTATATTACGGAACTATTACCACCAATTCGAGCATGTATGTGTAATTGTATCAATATAAATTTGATTTTTCCTTACTGCTTAGCTGACTGGATGGGGTTTTCGAAAAATTTAATCTCAATTTTTCTTTATTTCATTGAATTCGAAACTAGTAGTTTATTCCCCCGACTGTCAACATACAAAACCTTACTGACGACTTCGACAATATAACTGACTAAACGATGCTACAGAAAGACTTGAAAGATTCCGTTATTATTGTCTCAATTTTGTATGCTTCTGCATTGGTCCTCTTATTTCTATTTTGTATTGTTTGAATGCTTACCCGATTGTGTATTTCGTTAGTAGATAAGTAGATACATTGTAGATTGTCAAAACAACTCTTGCTGTCTGTAAACAAATATTGTGATTGCGGAAGCATTAAATATTTTTGTGTGAGTTATCAAATAGTTTATGTTAAGTTATCTTGTTAATTAAATGATCTATGCCAATCTGCAATTCGAACGGACTAAATCATATTATTGAATTTCGTTGCATCAAAGAGAACAATGAATGGGGAGTTATGTCTGTTAGTACTACCATATCAAATCAACGATTACGATCAGGCCAGAACAATCATCAAGCTTCATCGTGGGACTCTTATCATCTGGATTCGCCATGGATGGATGTAACCGTAATGTATTACATTAAAAGTGACCCAAAATCAATAAGGTCAATTAGGTATAGGCTTTTGAGTTTCATGGATATTTCTGAGCACTGAATCTGAGTTTGTCCTTGATTGTCTTGCAGCTTGTCAAAGGAGTGGACAGTCCCTCTCGCTTTGTGTAAATTGACACCACATGCTCTTCCGAGCTTTGCTGGAGTCCGACGCCGATGCCTTCCGAGTGGATCATGTCGAAAGTGACACGGACCTTCCACCCATGTCCAAATTGGACCAGAGACCAGAGCTACCGGTCGCCTCGTGGGCCCAAATTGGGCATCGGTAACTCGTCGCAAGAGATTACCAAGAGAGAAAGATACCACTTGTCTGTGATGTATGAGGTGTCAGAAGGCCTAATTGGGCGATTAGTGTAATTTCTTCCAATATTAAAGGAGATGAAGTCCTATCCCGTTATCCCCATCCCTTTGCTGCAATTGCCACGTTCAAATTGAACGCATTTGCAGCATTTACCTTCTCCAAAGGGGTCTGAAGGAGCAGGTAAGTCCATAAAGAGCAACGGGGGCCTGGAGTAGTGACCTTTGCATTTAGATTACACATAGATATTTTAAGAACAAACGCAAATACACCAACAAAGCATACACACATCCATTCGTACACGTTGGAAAAGTAGCAAGCACTGTCAAGCAAAAATTAATGTTACACCACTTTTCAAATCGGAATAGAACGAAATTATTGGATATTGGGTCGATGTTTCATTTTTTATTTAAACCATGAAGATAAATAAATGTCTCAATTGCGAAACAATTCGAAGTTAAAAATTTAATGTTTTCGCTCGAACATGGCGAATCCCAAAAGTATTTCTAAAGTAAGGACCAATAAATAAATGTGTATTTACTGGTGCAGTTGTAAATTTTGAATTCATCTATCTATGCTATACCGATCCGGTGGCCGAGATCGCTAAGGCAGCAGTGCCATAGCGATCTCCTGCCGAAAGATCGCGGGT